GGGGCCCTCTGGCATCCCAAACCAGCTCTTAACCATCGTGCCACTTGGCCGGCCCAGCTTTTGGTTTTATTGTTTTTTTTTCTCTATTGTTTTACTGTTTTTTGTTTCATATGGTTTTCATTTTGATCTTCATTATTTTCTTCTGCTTACTCTGGTTTAATTTGTTCTTTTTCTAATTTCTTAAGGTGGAAGCTAAGGTCCTTGATTTGAGACCATTCTTTTTCAATACAGCATTTTACACTATAAACTTTCCTCTAAATATTGCTTTAGCAGTACTCCACAATTTCTGATATGTTGTGTTTCATTTTATTTAGTTCAGAATACTTTCTGATTTTCCTTAATTTCTCTTTGGTTAATGAGTTATTTGGCAGTACATTATTTAGTTTTCAAATATTTAGGAATTTTTCTGATATCTTTCAGTTACTGCAGTAGTGAACACTGAAGCCTTTTAAATGTATTGAGACGTGTTTTATGGCCCACAATATGGTCTGTCTTGGTAAACATTCCATGTTCACTTAAAAAGAAAGTGTATTCTGCAGTTACTGCGTGGAGTGTCCTATAAATGTCAATTAGATCAAGTTGTTGAGAGGATTCTTCAAGTCTTCTTTCTACTTGTTCTATAATTATTGAGAAGCTATGGTTTAAAAGAATTAAAAAAAAAAATAGAGCCCACTTTTCAAATGAAACCTTAGTGTGAAACCCTGAAATACAAAATAGGTGAAACAGAGCTGCCGTTTGAATGAGATTGTTGGTGGAGGGCAGAGTCGTGTTCTTGGCCTCCTCCTCACCCTCTCACGGCAATGCTTGAAGCATCTGTAGAGAAGTGAGCTGCCCGCTGATCACTGGCATAAAGTCTCTCCAGTGAGACTACGTCTCAGCCTTATCCTCTACCACTCAGTGTTTGAGCAGCGACTTTCAGAACTTCCTGCATATTTTCATGGGTCCGTGCCGTGCTCTGCCTGGAATGGCCTTCAGCTCATGAAATCTTTCTCACTTTTTATGGCCCAGCTTACATGTCACCTCCTCGGTGACCCTTCCCCAGATGCTCCAGGCAGAACCTGTTCACTGTTGCATAACACTTACTTGTTATTCAGTGATTGTTTTGAGCCTCTGTATCCTGTGATAAATTTAAGTTCCTTCTCTTAAAAGTGTAATGTCACCTTTTCAGAGATACCGTCTCTGATATATCTAAAGTAGCCCCTCTCCCCCCATTTCTTAGCTTCTAGCACGCACCGTCTTGTTTATCTTCTTTGTACCACTTAGAAATTATGTAGTTTAGTTGTTTATGTGTTTATTGTGTGTTCATCCCTCTAGAATGAAAACTCCATGGCACTGAGACCTTACTAACATGTAAGACCTAACACTGAGACCTAACTAACTGATGTGTCCCTAGAGACTAAAACAGTGCTTATCACTTGGGTTTTTCAGTAAATATGTGGTGAAGAATGAATGAGTGAATACGTGGTGTGCTGGTTAAGAGCATGGCCTTGAGTCATACTCACCTGGCTTCAAATCCTGGCTCTGTTATACTGGTTAATCTTGGGCAGGTTGCTTAACCTTTTTAAAACCTCAGTTTATTAGTGTGATGGGACTAATAATAATCACTACTTCATAGGGTTGTTTTGAGAATTAAATGAGATCGTATGCAAACTACTTTACTGTGCCTGGCGTTTAATACTTGTTCAATAAATGTGAATTGTCATTACTGTTGTCAGTGTTCATATTGTTAGGCCATCCTGTGCTACTCCAGGAATTATTAACTATCATTAAATAAGTAAGTCCCTGCATGCTATAAAGAGTTGCCAACATGACAGATAGCTTGATCATTTAGAGTGCAGAGCATCTGCTGTTGTGACTTTCAGTTTGGAGGGTATCTTTGAAAATGCTGTTTTCTCTGACCGTGGTCTCTTAGTAAGTACAGGATGTCTCTCCCACTCAACAACTATGCAGATTACCCAGGTTTCAGCTGCCCTGAGGTGCCTTCAGGGCCCTTTGAAGTACATTTTCACGTAAGACATCTAGCCTGTGTTTTAAGTTAAGCTATCATAAATATACACCTCAAGTTTGGTAAAAATCCGAGGCAATAGACAGCCAGGAAATTTTTAAGTATTTTACAACACAAATCTCCACAGCTAACTGATTTAGTGTTGGGACCCACATTTCTAACAAGATTGAGTCCTATGTTCACTTCCTGTTCCTTCACCTGTATAGTGTGTCCCTGTATGTGCTGTCGATTGGGCAAACGCTATAGGAAGAAGGTATGAAGCTGTTGCAGTTACACTGCGATCAGACTTTTTTTCTATTGAGGATTTTAAAAGCACAAGTACTGATTTTGGGCATGACCTAATAGGAGTTTTCCCCTGTTTCCCCTATCATGTTTTAAGCTCTTAGAAGACAGGGAATAGGAGTTTTACTTTTTCCTTATCTCCAACTTCCAGGATGATACCTGGCAATCAGCAAATGTGTTGGAATGAGTTAGTGAGAATTCTTGGTGGGTAGGTAGATCATTAAGGTAAATACATTCAAGGCAGAAAGAAGAGGATGACTCTTGAGAATATCACAATTAGTTTAGGTTTGTTTATGAAATTGTTCCATTGCCTTGGGACCATATTCCAGAAAGATTTTCTAACATTACTTTTGTCTGTTGACACAATTCCTAACTTTTTCCCTGTGCCTGAAAGAAGGTATATATGGAATTAATTTTCTTATGGTTACCTAAGCTGTGGGGTTTAAAGAGGAATAGTCAATATCCAAGTTAATAATTATTTTTATTTTCAGGATGTGGCTTTATTTCTCCAAGAATTTAATGCTCCTGACATATTTATGGGAGTATTAGCCAAATCCAAATGTCCTCGATTAAGGGTAAGTATGTACATTTTTATAGCCTCCTCTTTGGAATAATAATGGCAGTTAATGCTGTTGGATTGTCGGAAAAGTCATGATGCAATTTTGCAATGAAAAACATAGAAAAAAATAGGTCATCACTTTTCCGACAACCCAATAGGTAGTCTTTCGTTTTTTTCACTTTAATTTTCTTACTGGCTACAAATCAGTGTGCAGATGTGTATTGAATGTTACCAGGTACTAGGTAATACGCTATTTAAAATGATTAGAATCCTAGAATTTTAGATTTGGGCTGGGCCAGAGAGATCAGTACTTTCATTTAACAGCTATGGAAACCAATAAGCAAAACCGAAGTCATGCCGTTAATATGTAGGAGGGCAGAAAGCGGTGCCCGGACCTCCCACTTCTGTTTATTGCTCTTTTTTAATTCATAAAACCCTTCATGCTTAAAAACGTTTATTCTAAACTCAGCCTCTTGCTCAGGATTTTCTATAATCTGAGTCTAATTCATCTTTCCTGCATAAAATCTACCCTCCAGATGGTCCTAATTTAGCAAGGCCTGTCTACTCCTTGTCTCAGGAGTAGACGTGGCCTGTATCTTACTGTATTCATTGTTATCTCTGTGTCTCACTTTGTATACCTTCTGTCCCCTCAGTATTCACATCTGTTTTCCAAGGTGGTACTTTTCTGCCAATCCTTCTCAAATAAGTAAGGTCTCAGTGGCCACTGCTGATAGTAAACTCCCCAAACAATTATCTGTATTTCTCATTTAGTCTTTATGTTCTGTGCAGCGGATTGTGGTTTAGCGCTATTTGGGTTGCTGTGAGCTATGCATATTGTAGGTGATTAATAAATATCTATTAAGTAATTATAATTACGAATAACTTATAACTGAGTATTTGGTTTTACTACTCTATTAGGCATTTATCTTCACTTCACAAATAAAAGAACTAAGTCTCAGGTTAAGAGATTTGTCCAAGGTCCTACAACTAGGAAAGAATGGAGCTGGGATTGGAGCCTAGCCTGTCATTCAGTAAAACCAGTGTATTGTATTCTCTCTCTTTCTTTGCAATTATGAAGTGGAGAACTCTATAGCATATTTTTACAAATTGAATGTTGAATTAAAATTTATTTAGTACAGTGCTCCACCTGAATTGGGGCCTGATGAACTGATGAACCACTTTTTCTTTGGGTTATTATATTAATATAAACATTTGACAGTTACATGATTTTCTCCTGAATTTTTTTTTAACTTAAGTACATTGATTTATGATTAGTACTTAAAGAAAATAAGCTTATGTCAGGAATGTCACCTTTCAGGAATTAGACATATCATTATATGTATTTGTCTGTGAGCCACAACCTGTCTGTAGCAGTGATTCTCAGCCTTGGCCACACTTTAGAACCACCTAGGACTCACACTTAAGCGGTCCCAGAATCGCTGAGTACTGAGCACACCCCCAGAGTTTCACCCAGGAGATTTGGGGTAGGATCAAGGACTTCGAACACCTTCCCAGGTGATGCTAGCGCTCTGGACCAGGGCCCATATTTTGAGAAGCTTTGCTGTAGTGAGCTTCTAAAAATCCTGAGTCAGGCCATACCCAGATGAGTTAAAACATAATCTCCAAGTGTGAGGCTCCAGACAGCTTTTAAAGTTCCCCTCATTCCACTGAGCAACTGAGACTGAGAAACTTGGCCTTTGATTGGAAGTTCAACTATTCCCTCTTTAGTTTGTAAGGGAAATGTGTATGTTTCCTTCCCGCCCCTACTCTTTTCATCTTTTCCCAACATTGGATCACCACATTTTATTGAAACTCTGCACTCTTGTAGCTTTGGTGCCCCCTCCTCCTCTTGGTCTCACCTCTTCAGTCACATCTCTGTCACTTTTATCGCCGTTTTGCTTTCTTCCTACAAGTTGAGTGTGGACTCCTCCTAAGGTGTTGACCCAGGTCCCTTGTCCTCTTTCTACCCATTTCCTTAGTGAGCTCATCCTCTCTTTATACCTTTAAGTTGCAGATCTGCCTGTGCTCCGACCTCCCTTCTGATTTCTGGTGTCACATCTCCATCTTTTTTCAGGCATTCTCTACTTGCATGCTTCATTTTCCAACCCAAAATGCTACACAAATTATGAGCGATTGTCATACTTATTGGAGCATAAAAATCACATGGTGTGCTTGGTAATGAGTAGCTTCCCAGGTCCTACCCTGCTGATTCTGATTCAGTACTTCTGAGGTGGGACTTGGAAATCTGTATTTTTAACACGCTTCATGAGTAGTTTTTATGTTCCAGCCACTTTGGAAACACTATCCTGACTAAACGCTTTGTGTCCTTTCCTACATTCTTTTCCAATTTTCCTGTCTGTGGGACCAATATCTCCAACTAGAGAAATGAAGCAACTTGAAACCTAGAGTCAGGTTCAGCTGCTTTCTCCCTTTGCTCTCATCTTCTTGCAATATGGTATAGTGGTTAAATGCTCAAGCTCTGGATCTCTGCTAGTTCCGAGTTGGAGATCTTGGGCAAGTTGCTTAACTTCTTTGTGCTTTAGTGTCCTCATCTGAAAAATTGGGATAATAATAGCACCTACCTCATAAATTATTATATGAAATGATACATGGAGAGTGCTTAGAGTAGTACTTGGGCATAGTAAGTGCTAAATAAACATTAGTTGTTATTACTGAGGTTATTAACGTCTTTTAAAGTTTTTCCACTATCATGCAATATGCATTTTGTTGTCAGAGTTATCTTCCTAAAATATTGTTGCAGTATGTTGTCTCCTTCCTTGAGGACCTTCATGGCTTCACATAACCTCCTAAGTTGAACTCTTCCATATGTCATTGAGGGCCCTTAATCCTGATCCTTTTTACCTGCTGTGTTTATCTCATCCTATTCTCTCACTTTGTGCAACAACCAGGGTGCTTTCTTT